CGGTCTCAGGAGAGCCTCCCTATCGCTGTTTACAGCAAGCTAGCAAAGCAAGCAAGCATGCGCCGTAGCGCCACAGCCAGGAAAGGACAGGTGCACATAAAAAATGGCAGCTAGCTGACAAATTTCAGTATGCATCTTACAGAAGGGAACAGACAGACCAATACTTACAAACAAATAGTGCACTTATTATTCATGTAGGAATGATGATCTATTTAGGAAAGCAATCCGGTTGCTCTGGCAAGACCTAAACCACGGTGTTGGCAGAGAGGCCCTTAGCATCTCAAACCCTGGTGTTAAATACCTTTAGAGTCCAGATGAGCTGTCGATCAAGAAATTGGACGGTCCTGACGAAACCCAGACCCCTCCCTTTTCCGACCAGAAGACTCTGACCGGAGTCACTGTACTACTAGGTTAAAAACATCCTCCCTGTCAAGGCCAGAGCTTGAAGCCACATATCTAGATGTTTTGGCTTCGAGGCCGGAACTCAGAAATGTAAACGGTTCTGCTATATATTTTTATGAGCCCTTTTTTGATATTGGTGGTATCATGCTTTGAGAAGACATTTCTTTCAGAGCAGAGCGCCATGTGCCTTTTCAGGCTGAAGAGCCTCCTGCAAAGCCTTATGGGAGAGAACCAAATAGTGAGGCCTCAGCCAATCCAAGCATACAGCAAGCTAGCAACCAAAGGACAACGAAGTGTGAGAGCCACTGTAACCAAAAGCACTAAACTCCGAAAGTGGGCTGCGCCTCAAAGTCTCCCAAATCCTATATAATAAGAATATACAAGTTCCACCAATAAGAATTCACAAATATTGCTCTGTGGAAAACTGTACAACACTGTAATCAAAGTCAGTACAAATGAACTCACAAATGGCGAAATAGGATGTAATTAAGCAAAATCAGACTAACCAATAGCTGAGACGTCCTACAAAACTGGGAACACGAACAGTCAAAGATTACAGTAACAGCAAAGAACAACTACATTCAGAGATAACAGTAACAGCGATACAAGGTATGGTTTCCTTGTTTCCATAAGAGTTCTTCTTCAGTCACTGCTACAGTGAGAATGAATCTATGTTGAATGAAACAGTATGAAAAAAGCTTTTAAACCTCCCAAAAAAGCTTTTAAAGCCTACACCAGTTTGGTGTGGTGGTTAAATGCACGGACTCTAATCTGGGAGAGCTGGGTTTGAGTCCCCACTCCTCCACTTGAACCTGCTGGATGACCTTGGGCAAGCCATAGTTCTGATAAGAGCTGTCCTTGAAAAAGAGCAGTTTCTGTCAGAGCTCTCTCAGCCCCACCTACCTCACAGGGCGCCTGTTGTGGGGAGGGGAAGGGAAAGGAGTTTGTAAGCCGCTCTGAGACTCCTTTGGGTAGTGAAGGGCGGGATATAAATCCAATCTCTTCTCTCTTCCTCTTCCCAAGGGAATGACTTGGTGATAATCTCCCGGCTGTACAGAAATGCCCCGTCTCGCTTATAATTTGGCCACATGGGGTTTGGCTCACCCACTGGCCCTCTAGGATGGGAGGCCTCTCTGCCTGCCTGGTGATGTAGCCATTAGGGAACAATGAACTAGACCTGCTCTGTGAGGCAGTCGCTCCACAGCCTTTCCCCTCTGGGCATACAGCCTTCAAAGGGGAAGAGGTCACGGGATAATTCTAGGCAGCTGCAGGCCTGGCCCCTGAAGAGCAGGAGAACTTCCTCAGTCGCCTCCCGTTGCTGAACAACAGGCCGCTGCCCCGAATGCTGACAACAGGAGGGCTTCCCGGGACCCTTCCGGAAGAGCCCCTGGTCTCGAAAGAGGACAAACAGGCTTGACCTGTCCTGGGAGAGTCTGGCTGTCCCCAGAACAGGGCTTCTCGTTCTCCTCAAGGCCCTGGAGGGAAGATCCCGAGCGGTGAATTGGGGACGACGATCGGCAGTCCTTTTATGAGTTGCCCAAAAGCGCAAGCGAAAGAATAGCAGGAAGATGCCGAATCTTCGGAGACTGGTCTTTGGCATTTCCACCCATCACTCACGGTGCTGAAGACGCAAGCGGGTTTCCTCTTCGGGAGAGCAGTCGGGATGGAAAAGCCGAAGAAACCGCTGCTGTTAAACTGGGCGTCGAAAGTGGCGTACCTCTCCCACGAAGCCCCGGAGGAGGGTAACCGCTTCCGACGCTATGGCATAGAAGACTATAGAAGGTGCATAGAAGACCTGTTGTACTCAGCAACAGGCCCGTAGCCAGGATATTGTGGCTTGTGAGGCAAATTTTTTGCCGGTGGGGCTGCCATTATTTTTCTGTCTGTCTTTAAGTCCCAGTTTCTAAACGAAGGGGAAAATCCCACCGCTTAAGGACACTTAAAGGAAAATATGAAATAGGGAGGGGGACTTTTAATTTTTTTAAAAAATGTTAAAAATAATTTAAAAACCATTTTCATGAGGAAATCTTGTGGGGCTGGCCCTTTAAGGAAGGGGCGGAGCCCCAAATAACCCCACTGTAGCTACGGGCCTGTCCAGCTAGGGTTGCCAACCTCCAGGTGGGGCCTGGGGATCTCCCGCTTTTACAACTGATCTCCAGCTGACAGAGATCAACTCCCCTGGAGAAAATGGCTGCTTTTGAGGGAGGACTCTATGGCATTGGACCATGCCGAGGCCCCTCCCCTCCCCAAACCCCGCCCTCTCCCGGCTCCACCCCCAAAGTCTCCAGATATTTTCCAACCTAGACCTGGCAACCCTATGTTCAGCAGTGTCCTGTTATGTTTTCCTCTAAACCAGGCATTCCCAACATGGTGCCCATGGGCACCCAACACCTTTCCTGGCACCTGCCAAACGTTTTTAGAAAGCAGATGGGGCTTTTGCTAAGTACCGCTTCTGATTGGCTACTGAAGATTGGATTGGCCGTACAGATTTGTTTTTTTAAGTTGCTTTGGCAGCCGCTGCCGCCACAGCACAGGAATCCTCACTGTGTGACCGAAGGTGTGGACATGAAAATATTTTCAAAACAACATGTTCATTTTAAATAACATGTTCATTTTAAATGACATTCAGTTAAACAGAACTTCTGGCTGAAATACTAAAGAGTTACTATTGAGTTAAGAATGACTCACTCCTTGGGATGTTCTGGTTGGCTCCATCCTCTTGTGGCAGCCATTTTGTGGTTGGCTCCATCCTCTTGTGGCAGCCATTTTGTGGTTGGCTCCATCCTCTTGTGGCAGGCATTTTGTGGATGGCTCTGCCTCGTGTGCTAGCCGTTTTGTGGTTGGCTCCGCCTCTTGTGGCAGCCATTTTCTGGTTGGCTCCACCCTCTTGTGGCAGCCATTTTTTTTGTTTCGCCCACCACCTCATGTCAGAATTCCAAAAGTGCCCACAGGCTCGAAAAGTCTAAGGACCATTGCACTATGCAGTACAGTAACGTCTCAACTGAGAGACATGTGACATCTGCGATGTAGACCATGGGTCCCCGACATGGCACCCCCCAAATGTTTTCAGGAAGCGGGTGCGGCCCGGTAGGGCTTCTGCCCAGCAAAGCTTCTGGCTGTTGGGGACTGACTGGCTGTTCAGATTTTTTTGAGTGTTACTTTGGCAGCGGCTGCCACCAAAGCACAAGGATGTACACACCAGAGGGTAGAGATAGAATTTAACGAGATCAGAACACACTGGAAAAGTGGGCGGATGTGAACAAGATGCAATTTTAAAAGGATAAGTGCCGAGTTCTACATCTGGGCGACAAGAATGGATGGGGGATACACTTCTGGGCAGCAGTGTGTGTGAACAAGTTCTTGGGGTACGGGTGGACCGTAAGTTAAAGATGAGCAGCCGGTGTGATGCAGCAACAAAAATGGCTAATGCGATCTTGGGGTATATCAACAGAGGCATAGCATCCAGTTTGCAAGGTGTCATAGTCCCGCTGTACACTGCACTGGTCAGGCCGCACCTGGAGTCTTGTGTGCAGTTCTGGAGTGTAGTTTGCCGGGGTTCAAAGAAGACAGGACACAAACACTCTGCAGGAACTGACTGAAGCCTCTTAGCTTCCCAGCGTTTATTTATAAGCTTCTAGTTTCTAGTTTCCCCCCTTCCCTCTCTCCCTCACGTAAGGGAAAGTTACAAGCATTCAAGCATCCTTTCGGAATGTGTTTTCTAACAGCCGCTCTCCCTCATCATTCCCGTCTCTTCTGCCAAGGCCAAATGACTGCTTCATTAAGCAGTACCTCATGCTCTCAGCACACGAATACTTTTGGGTTCCCAATCTCCAGCCAGGAGAACAGTGATCTTCCTGCAGGAACAATGTTAACACTCCCGGGCCTGCCTCTCAAGAGTGGACATCGTTCCTACACTGGAGGCCTCACTTCATAAAGGACGTGGATAGAATGGAGCGGCCGCAGAGGAGAGCAACAAGGGAGGGGGGCTATGAGGAAAGGCTGAGGGACTTGGGAATGTTCAGTCTGGAGAAGAGGAGGTTGAGGAGGGACAGGATGGCTCTCTTGCAGTATCTGAAGGTCTGTCCCTTAGAGGAGGGCAGGGAGCTGTTCCTGTTGGCAGCAGAGGACAGGACTCACAAGAATGGGTTGAAATTAAGGGCAGGAAGGTACCGGCTGGATATGAGGGGAAACTTTTTGACAGTCAGAGTTGTGCAAGAGTGGAATCAGCTGCCTGGGGAGGTGGTGAGCTCCCCCTCCCTGGCAGTCTTTAAGCAGCGGCTGGACAAACACTAGGCCAGGGGTGGCCAAACTCGCTTAACGTAAGAGCCACACAGAATAAACATCAGATGTTGAGAGCTGCGAGACCTGAACAGATATCACACACTTTTTTGTTGGGAAAGATGCAAATTCACTTTTTATTAGCATGAAATGAGACTGCCAGAAATAAAAACAAAAGGGGTAAAAGCAGATATTGATCATATTTATTTGTCCCATGAGATTTCTTTGTTTGCTCATGATATTTATCTAAGAGAGAGAGAGAGAGGTGGAAAGAAAGAATGAAAGAGGTGGAAAGAAAGAGAGAGAGAGAAACAAAGAAAGCAAATAGATGGGGGAGGGAGGAGGAAGGAAAGAAAGAAAGAAGAGAGAGAGAGAAAGGAAGGAAGAAGGGAGAGAGAGAGACAAAGCAAGGTGGAAAGAAAGAAAGTGGAAAGAAGTCACATAGATGGGGGGAGGGAGGTGGAAAGAAAGCAGCTTTAACTTTAAATGTGTCCTCCCCTTCGTTTCCCCAGCCGCTTTTTCGGGAGCCGCACAATATGTGTGAAAGGGCCACATGCGGCTCCTGAGCCACAGTTTGGCCACCCCTGCTCTAGGCTGATCCTACCTTGAACAGGGGGTTGGACTAAATGGCCTGCAGGACCCATTCCGGCTCTATGATTCTACGACTCTATGACTGGAGGTCGCCGTGGCAATCCTTTTGTGGCTGGCTCCGCCTCCTGCGTCGGCCATTTTGTGGCCGCTCCCACAATGCCCTGTCAGAATTCCAAATGTACCCACAGGCTCGGAAAAGGTTGGGGAGATGCCTGATGTAGACGAGCTGCAAAACGATCATCTAGTCCACTGCCTGGCTCTCCTTCTCTGTTGCGTTCCTTCCCTTCGCCACAGCACAGAGTACACGGCTGCCCTGGAGTGTGGGAGACGAGCGTTCATTTGGAAGCCCGTTCCGGCAGCTTCCCGCATTGGCTGTGCTGCCAGAAAATGTGACGGGCGCCAAAGAACAATCAAAAGAGGACTGCTGTTTTCGGTGCCACGGATTGAAGACAGTGAATGCTTTGCATCGATTCAGGGGATTTCTCATTGCTTTCGGTTACCTGGGGCATTGGGTCACTTGCCTAATAGTATTATATTGGTAGTGCTGGCATGGTACTTGAGGGGGGGTGGGGAAGAGATTGTGGACCCCCGAGACTCTCTTGGTGGTGATGGAAAGGGCCGTCACGTCGCAGCCAACTTCTGGCGACCCCCGTAGGGTTTTCAAGGCAAGAGGCGGTCAGAGGTGGCTTGCCATTGCCTGCCTCTGCGTAGCGACCCCGGACTTCCTTGGGGGTCTCCCGTTCAAGAACTAACCAAGGCCGACCCTGCTTAGCTTCTGAGACCTGACGAGATCAGGGTAGCCTGAGCCCTCCAGATCAGGACAGAAATAAACAGAGGTGGGTTGCCATTGCCTGCCTCTGCATCGCAACCCTGGACTTCTGTGGTGGTCTCCCATCCGAGTACTAACCAGGGCCGACCCTGCTTAGCTTCTGAGATCTGACAAGATCGGGCTCGCCTGGGCCACCCAAGTCAAGGCAAGAGGTGAACATAGGGGGTTTGCCCTTGCCTGCCTCTGCGTAGCGACCCTGGGCTTCCTTGGTGGTCTCCCATCCAAGTAACCCTTTGGCAGTGTCCCATCCAAGGGCCAGCCTTGCTTAGCTTCCAAGATCTGATTCGATCAGGGGGAAAGAGGTGGGTTTGCCATTGCCTGCCTCTGCGTAGCGACCCTGGGCTTCCTTGGCGGTCTCCCATCCAAGTACCAACCAGGGCCGACCCTGCTTAGCTTCTGAGATCTGATGAGATTGGGCTAGCCTGGGCCATCCAAGTCAGAGCCAAAGATGTTCAGAGGCGGTTTTGCCACTGCCTGCCTCTGCATAACGACCCTGGGCTTCCTTGGTGGTCTCCCATCCGAGTACTAACCAGGGCCCACCCTGCTTAGCTACTGAGACCTGATGAGATCAGGGTAGCCTGGGCCCCCCAGGTCAGGACAGAGATAAACGGAAGTGGTTTGGCCATTGCCTTCCTCTGCATAGCAACCCTGCACTCCTGTGGTGGTCTCCCATCTGAGTGCTAACCAGGGCCGACCCTGCTTAGCTTCGGAGATCTGACGAGAGTGGGCTAGCCCGGGCCATCCAGGTCAAGCCAAGAGATGAGTAGACGTGGTTTTGCCATTCCCTTCCTCTGCATAGCAACCCTGGGCTTCCTTGGTGGTCTCCCATCCAAGCAGGGCCCACCCTGCTTAGCTTCCCAGATCTCAAGAGATGGAGCTAGTCAGGGCACGAATCTCTTAGCTAGCAGGTCAAGTTTTATTATTCTTGTTTCCTTCAGGGTCCGTGGGGCTGCAGACCGACTGCAGCACCTGGAAAAGGAGGCGGAGGCCCGTACCAAGCAGCACAGCGTTCAGGTGGACCAGCTGCGGCTGAAGGTGCAGGACCTGGAGAGCGCCCTGCGTGTGGAGAGGCAGAGTGCCACGGAGGAGAAGTGAGTACGGGCAGAGCGCAGGAGGAAGGAGTGGCGGTTCCGCTAAGTGTCGCCCAGCCTGAACTCCGTGGCAAGTTCCCGTCACCTGAGGAGGCTTTCTCAGTCTGGTGTCGTGGTTAGGAGCGCGGACTCTAATCTGGAAGAACCGGGTTTGATTCCCCACTCCTCCACATGCAGCTGCTGGTGTGACCTTGGGTCAGTCGCAAGTTCTCTCTGCGCTGTTCTCTCAGGAGCAGTCCGCGGGAGAGCTCTCTCAGCCCCACCTACCTCACGGGGTGTCTGTTGTGGGGAGGGGAAGGGAAAGGAAATCGTAGGTCGCTCTGAGACTCCTTCGGGTAGTGACGGGCGGGGTATAAATCCAATCTCTTCTTCTCTGAAAACAGCCATCCTGAAACAAACAGCCAGTGTGGTGCTGTGGTTAAGAGAGGCAGACTCTAACTTGGAGAGCCGGGTTGGATTCCCCAAAACAAAACAAAAGGGATCACAGATATCCATAGGAAAAAACCACAAGCAAATCCTGTGATAAGACCAACATTTATAAGATTAACATAGCTTTTCTAAAACACAACAATTTATCCCTATTTCTCACTTATACAATATTGCAAAAAATAGTACACATAGTCCATCTTAATGAGTACCCGGTTGTGAACTCATTTCAACTTTAAAGTCTTCCTCAGACGTAATCCAATATTTAAAGGAGGTTTCAGCTTCTTAAATCCAGCTCAGCATTGTAAATTCTAAATTTCTTAATTTCCTTCATAATGTCTTCTGGTTCCATAATAAGTGTTTATTTCTGGAGCAAGCCCATCCTCTGTATGTGCAAAAAAGCCTCCTGAATCTTACTGGCCATGCTCTCCACAAACACCAACTTATTTAGGTAGTAGCAATCCAGTCCTTATTATATATTATATCTGGCTAAAGCCTTCATTATTATGGTTGGTAAATGCACTATATTTTTTCACCCGGCTAAAGCCTTCATTTTCTATCTGGCAAATGCCTTGGGTCAGTCATAAGTTCTTTCAGAGCTGTTCTCTCAAGGGCAGCTTCTGTCAAGAGCTCTCTCAGCCCCACCTACCTCCCAGGGTGTCTGTTGTGGGAAGGGAAAGAAGTTTGTAAGCCACTCTGAGACTCCTTTGGGTAGTGAAGGACGGGGTATAAATCCAATCTCTTCTTCTTCTTCTTTTACCTCACAGGGTGTCTGTTGTGGGGAGGGGAAGGGAAAGGAGTTTGTAAGCCACTCTGAGACTCCTTTGGGTAGTGAAGGGCGGGGTATAAATCCAATCTCCTCTTCTTCTTACCTCACAGGGTGTCTGTGGTGGGGAGGGGAAGGGAGAGGAGTTTGTAAGCCACTCTGAGACTCCTCTGGGTAGTGAAGGGCAGGGTATAAATCCATTCTTCTTCTTCTCCTCCTCCTCCCTCTCTCTCTTTCTCCCTCCTGCACAGGAAGAAACTAGCCCAGCTCCAGGGGGCGTATCACCAGCTCTTCCAAGAGTACGACGCCCACATCAAAGCCAGCATGGAGAACGAGAAGCGAAGCATGGAGAACGAGAAGCGAATCAAGGTGGGCGAAGGCATGCAAGCCGTCAAGGCAGGCCTTGGGGGTGGCGTGGAAGAGATGGCCGCGACTGGGCTCTCTGGCGTTCCTTTCAGCGGGAGCGGACCGGCCTTTAAGGCCCCTGGGGGAAGTCCCAGTGGGCTGGGAATCGGTAGCCCTTGTGGGGCGGGGAAGGAGGCAGCCGGGCGGCCCGAGAAGGGTTTGTCCCTCTCTTGGACAGGAGGCCTTCCTCAAGGCCGTTTTCGAAAAACCTCTTGGTCTGCCCTTGTAACGCCCGCACAGTCGACACATTACCTCAGACTTTTGTTTATCTATTTGTTTATCTTCATTTAATTTGATTTTTATACCGCTCAGGGCGGGTCACAAAGTCACAAATCTCAGTAGCGATCGTTAAAATGATCAAAACGGTCCTTTAAAACAGTAGCAGAAACCACAGCCAAGGTCCATGTTACCGTGCTCAGATCCTAAGTCAGCGATTTCGGTCGGGGAGGCCAAAAATGGATTCCGGAAGTCCGCCACCTCAACCGAAAGCCCTGCGGAACAGTCCCGTTTTACAGGCCCTGCGGAACCGTGATAAATCCCGCAGGGTCCCGATCTTGAGTGGGAGCTTGTTCCGTGAGGCTGGGGCCAGGGCAGAAAAGGCCGTTGCCCCGGTTGAGGCTAGTCGGACATCGTCGTGGCCGTGGGCAACCAGTAAACGTTGGTCGATTGAGCACAGTGCTCTGCGGGGCACATATGGGGAGAGGTGATCCCAAAGATATGCTTCCTCTAAGCTGTGGAGTGTTGTGAGCAAAAACTCCACTTTATGAGCCACTGGCATTCAAGTTGCGAGTGAGCGATTTGGCTGCTGTATAAATTAGTGTGCTCTGGAGCCCTCCTTCCTGAGCTAAGACAGAAGGTATAGATAGGGGCTCTGGGGCAAGGGATGCTCTGTCTTCTTGGTGCTTGGGGGGGGTCAACAGTGGGAGGGCTTCTAATGTCCTGGCCCCACTGGTGGACCTCCTGATGGCACCTGGTATTTCTGGCCACTGTGTGACACAGAGTGTTGGGCTGGATGGGCCTCTGGCCTGATCCAACATTGGCATCTCTTATGTTCTTATGTAAATCTGTGAGCCGGAGGCTAAGAAACCGTGAGCTGGCTCACACTAACTCAGCTTAGAGGGAACACTGCGCGTATCGGGCTTTAAAGGTTAACACCAGAAACTGGAACTGGATTCAGTAGTCTGTTGGCCGCCGGTGCAGTTGGCGCCGGCACTGGCTGGATGCAAGCCCTCACAGGCATCGCTGTCAGCATCTGCACCGCCACATTCTGCACCAGCCACATGTTCCGGGTCAAGTTCTGCTTCCGACTGCCGTCTCAGGTCTTGGACCAGCAGGCCGCTGAACTATCCGACCAACTGCAGCAAGCGGAGGAGGCCCTGGTGGCCAAGCAGGAGCTGATCGACAAGCTGAAGGAGGAGGCCGAACAGCACAAAGCAATCATGGAGACGGTGCCAGTGCTGAAGGCGCAGGTGAGTCAGAGGCCCCAGGGGCCAATCAGAAGCCCTGCTGGGCAAAAACCCCACCTCCTTTCTATAAAAAAACACTCGACAGGCACCAGAAAAGTTGTCATGGGTGCCATGGCGCCCACAGGCGCCCTGTTGGGGAGCCCTGGTCTAGGGAGTGAAGCACGGCCGAGGAAGGATGAGGGGGGTCAGCATCTAGACAAAGCATGTGAGCAGCTCACCAAGGCGTTAAGTAACAGCGCCCCTCTCCCTCTGTGCTCAGGCGGAGATCTACAAGACGGACTTCTTGGCGGAGCGTCACGCGCGCGAGAAGCTCCACGAACAGCGGGAGGCCCTGCTGGAGCAGCTGGCACAACTGCAGCGAGACTGTGAGAAGCTGAAGGCCGATTCAGAGGGTGCCAGCCGGTGAGTGGGTGGAGGGAGTGCCCGTCTAAGACAAGCATCTTTATCATGAGGTGTGTGTGTTTGTTTTTACGACAGTCACATGTGACTGAGTCATAGTGACCAAAGATAACCTCCACATTCAGAGGCACCAACCAAGCCTCTGAATCCCAGAGCCAAGAGGCAACATCAGGGGAAGGCCTCGGCTTCTCTGCCCTGTGGTTCGACCTCCAGAGGAACTGGTGTGAGACAGGAGGCTGGACTAGATGGACCCTCACTGGTCTGACCCAGCAGGGCTCTTCTGAGGTTCTTCTTCCTTTTTTTTTTTAAAGCCCCCCGAAGTGGAATTTTTAATTTGCATTTCTATAAAACCACACCAGAAATTGGGGAGGGAAAGTCTACAATCTATAGGAAAAAGTAAAGAAACCTAACTAAAAAACCAAGAATGGAGGTTTTACAATGCTTAAAACATAGTTGTTACTCTTATACATTTGCTTTCCAACATGAAGAGTGCCCGCCAATCATCGCTTCTGCTGACAAACCCTGCTTATCTGACTGAACAGAGAGTAATTCCAAAGCTATAACACACACAATCACAGCCCTTAAGAAAAAATTAGCATCTCCACGGTCCCCCCCCCCGGCAAAACCTTTAAAACCAATGTTCCCTCAGTAAGAACATTACAATACGTTTTTCTTCTTCCGTCTTCGATGTATCTTCTTTCTTCAATTATCTTTTAGTTTTTATAAGTCCGGATCTGTCCATTCATGATATAAACCAAGTTCCTTTTTTCCTGGGACATCGCTTCCATAAACATCTTAGGTCAAAAGAGTCTTTCCTTGCGTTGCAATAACAACACGCTCATTGGAGATTCCAACCTTTCTCTTAGCAAGCAGATCATATAAAGTTAGGGTAGCGAGCCCTTTACTCCAAAAAAACGCTTTTCGATCAGCTTGCCAGTCCAGCCACAAAGAACTAAACTTAGAGTCTCCTTGCCATTCATACGTCTCTATGATTAATGTACTTTAAAAGTGTAGCTGCTTTTAGTACAGATCCAGATCGCTTCTCACTTTAGCCACCAGAGGGCCCACGATTCACTTTAAAGACAGAGTCTGTGGTTAGGTCACAACCTAACTTTCCACTGTCCTCCTTTCTGAAGAAAGCATTGGTCCCTCCTCCCTCTTCGCCTCTCGTTGCCATCTTTTGGAGATGTTTACATCAGCCGAAAAAGAATGCCAAAGTCTCTAAGGTGTGTTTAAACGCTCCGCTGTCTTTTAGAAAAACTCCCCGCTACAGTCCATCGCCACAGTTTGATCAGTCCCTCTATCCTTGCTTTCGCATTTGCTTAGAACGTCGGGAGATAGGGCATCCCCTCCCCCCCTCCGTTTATACGCTTATAGTGGAGGGACTTCACTTCTAGGCTTTAGTGTCTCGTTTCAACGACAACTCACTCATCAATCCTTGAATCGATCCACCAGGTCCTAAGACGGCCCCTGGGATCACGCCAGGCAGAGAAAATCGCTAAACCTCCAAATGCTTGTTCCGGTGGTCGCTTCTAATCCAGTACTGGGAATCAGGGCAGGACCTTCAGGGCAGAGAGTAGCCCCCCTGTACCAGCTACCGGCCGGAGGTGGGGCTCTCCAAAGCCCCCTGGCTAGAAGCCCATTGCCTATGGGCTTCATGGGGGAGCGTGCACAATCACGCTCCCTCCTAATCCCCGATTCATGGCACACGTCTCTCGGTGGAGCCCGGAGACACCACCATCGTTCAAAGCGCCAAAACCGGAAGCCTTGTGATGTTCTTATCAGTTAAAAACCTTGGCCCTCCAGAGGAACTGGCTGGTTGCTGTGTGAGGTGGGATGCTGGACTAGATGAACCACTGGTCTGATCCAGCAGGGCCCTTCTGGTGTTCTGATAAGGGGAAGGCCTCGACCTCTGTGCCCTGTTGCTGGCCCTCCAGAGGAACTGGCTGGTTGCTGTGTGAGGTGGGATGCTGGACTAGATGAACCACTGGTCTGATCCAGCAGGGCCCTTCTGGTGTTCTGATAAGGGGAAGGCCTCGACCTCTGTGCCCTGTTGCTGGCCCTCCAGAGGAACTGGCTGGTTGCTGTGTGAGGTGGGATGCTGGACTAGATGAACCACTGGTCTGATCCAGCAGGGCCCTTCTGGTGTTCTGATAAGGGGAAGGCCTCGACCTCTGTGCCCTGTTGCTGGCCCTCCAGAGGAACTGGCTGGTTGCTGTGTGAGGTGGGATGCTGGACTAGATGAACCACTGGTCTGATCCAGCAGGGCCCTTCTGGTGTTCTGATAAGGGGAAGGCCTCGACCTCTGTGCCCTGTTGCTGGCCCTCCAGAGGAACTGGCTGGCCCCTGTGTGAAGCAGGATGCTGGATTGGATGGACCACTAGTCTGATCCAGCAGGGGACTTATTATGTTCTCCTCAGGGCAAGGCCTCAGCGCCCACGCCCTGTCGTTGGCCCATTTCAATGTATCTGAGGAAGTGTGCGTGCACACGAAAGCACAGACCTTGAATAAAACTTGGATGGTCTTAAAGGTGCCCCTGGACTAAACTTTGTTCTACAGGGATATAGGTCAAGCTGTGTGTATGTCTGACCCACGGCCTCTGTGGGAACTGAGATCTCCCGCGTCCTCCTTTGGGGTCCCCCAAGGTTTCAGAACCTGTCGGCAACTTTGGAATTGAGACCCAGCGGGGCGGGCGCAGCCACAAAACAGTTGCTCCGGCTGACCTCCAGACACCCAGTGAAGATCCTTGCGCTGTAGTGGGAGCCGCTTGCAAAGCGAGATCTCTCAAAATCTGCACAGCCAGTCTGAAGACCTTGCTGGGCCAGAGCCCCACCTAGCCCTGCCCGCTTTCCAAAAAAACACTTGGCGGGTTCCATGAAAGAGACTGGCAGGTGCCACATGGCCAGTGTTCCCTCTAAGCTGAGTTAGTGTGAGCTGGCTCACAGTTGTTTTTTTTTATAAAGATTTTATTAGCTTCCCTAAAAAGGGGAGGTATTTCGCTTAAAAGAAAAAAGGGAAAGGTAGACAGTGGGAGAAAGAGAAAGCTGAGTGATATATAAACTGGTAAATTAAACTGTTAGTAATGTCCAATTAATCTTCTTGGGCTTCTTCTGTGTGTTGTCAAACTTCTTTTCTTAGTCCGGTCTCATGTGATTCTCTGTTAGTATATTAGTAATGTTCCCTTGAGTTTCTGTTAATAATAAAAAAAAAATCTCTTCTGGATAACCGCTTCTTTGCGCTTCTTTGCGTGTTGGGCACTTTTACAATCGCTGACGGGGAGGGGTTTCCTCTGTTGCCTTCTACTTCCGGCTTGTTAAATCCTCCTTCGGGTTGCTGTTAACACACTCAGTTCATGCATTATAAATCCTCTTCCTTTCATGCCTTGGAGGTCCCCAGCTTTGAGAATGGTATTAATTTAATTTCGCTTTTATTTCCGCTCCCAAACTCTCTATTGGGTCCTCCTCGAAACTGTTGACGTATATAAGCGCTTGCCAGGCACTCCTCGCTGTCACAGTTCAAACTTTTCCGTTTTACAAAACTCCCGTCGGATTCACAGCCATAAACAGTCCAAAACACTAAACAGCCGGCTCTCACACACAAGCAAACGCCCAGACGGAAGTCCCTCCCTTCCTCCGCTCGTTTTTGCCCAGCTCCGACATCTTTTCTTTTTTGTTTACTTTTAGAAAGTTCTTAAAGTGTGCTCCAGAGAGACAAAACTTTTTCTCGCTTTAATTCAAATACATCAAGGGAAAACACCGCTGTTCGCTCAGTCCATTCCCCCCCTCCTTTTCTTTTTCGCTTATGCAGTTAGAGGATTAACCTCCTCGCCTTTTTCGCTGGGTGGGGGGGGAGCGGTTTTAGATCTTTTTCTTTGCATTTTGACAACTCACAGTTAAGCCGATCTTTTCTTTTTCAACTTTTTCGGATGGTCGCTTTATCACTCGGTGACGTCTGGTGGCTCCGCTAAACCCCGTAAAAACGGGATCGCTCACGCAGCAAGGTCCAAAGGGGCAGGGCATGGCGGGAGCCTCGTCTCCAACCTCTCGGCTGAGAGAGAGACCCCCCCCTCGCTGGCTCACAGTTTTTTAGCCTCCGGCTCACATATTTTTGCCTTAGCTCAGGAAGGACGGCTCCAGAGCAAACTAATTCATGCAGCAGCCAAATCGCTCGCTCACCGCTTTAATGCTGGTAGCTCACCAAGTAGAATTTTTGCTCACAAGACTCCAAAGCTTAGAGGGAGCCTTGCACACGGCCCACGGGCACCATGTTGGGGAACCCCGTCTTGGTCTTGCCCAGATCCCTCTGCCCTGAGTGATGCTGATTATCCATCAGATATGCATCAGGCGCAGTGCTTAAAGCATCTTTCGTTGCTCCTAACCAGTGTTCCCTCTAAGCTGAGTTAGTGTGAGCTAGCTCACTGTTTTTTAGCCTCCGGCTCACACCTTTTTGTCTCAGCTCCGAGCAAACTGATTTATGCAGCAGCCAAACCGCTCACTCAGAACCAGTGCTCCCTCTAAGCTGTGGAGTCCTGTGTGCAAAAATTCTACTTTGTGAGCTACTGGCATTAGAGTTGTGAGCAGGTGATTTGGCTACTGCATAAATTAGTTTGCTCTGGAGCCCTCCTTCCTGAGCGAAGACAAAAATGTGTGAGCCGGAGGTTAAAAAACTGTGAGCTAGCTCACACTAACTCAGCTTAGAGGGAACACTGCTCACCACTTGAATGCCACTTGAATGCCAGGAGCTCACAAAGCAGAATTTTTGCTCACGAGATTCCACAGCTTAGAGGGAGCATTGCTCCCAACCGCACAGCTTATGGAGAAGCCACCTCCTACTACGGGCTGTGTCGTTTATAGCCGATGCTCGGTGTCCCTTCCTCTCCCGTAGGGCCCTAATGGAAGAAATGAGGAATCGCCACGCAGAGATGCGCGCCCCGGCTTCTCAGACACGTGAGTACCGGCACGGCCCTAATTAACCATGTAGCAGGGGTATTCCTGGCATCAAGGTATAACTCAGAGGCTTAAAACAAGTGAAAAGGTGCTAGGCAGAGCCGGGGGAACAAGGCGTTCTGGTTCCTCCTCCTGTCACCTGCATGTATGGGGTACTATCTACAGCAGTGGTGCTCACGGAGAGCCACATGTACTTCCATCCCTGGCATGAGGCCCGCACTGCAGGGAGAGGCTCACAGTTTGCCTTTTCCTCTGGCAGCAGTGATTTCAAGGTGGGAATCCATGGCCATCTACAAGCCCTGGTGGTCAAGGGCGTTACCTGCAGTCTTGAAACATGGAACAGCACTCAGAAGAGCCACATGTGGCTCCCAAGCCACTGAGTATCACTAATCCTAGAGTCTTTTCATCCTGCTCTTCTTCCACAGCGCTTGAGGCAGGGACCATGGTACTTCCTGCCAGGGGTCATTTCGTAGAAAAAGAGGTGCAGGAGCTCATTAGCATAACTCATTGGCATAGCTTATCTGCATTTGCCACACCCCCTGACATCACCGGAAGTGTGTCAGAAGGCAACACCCACCCCTCAGGCTCCACTGGACTGTTTTGGATGGCTAGCTATTGGGGGACGGGACGTGCAGATCTGTCCTCGCAGAGGAGGGAGAGCTTGTACCTGAATAAAACTTGGTCTTAAAAGTCCCACTGGACTGTCTTGGACTGGGGGGCTCTGCAGCTTACCTGGCTGCTTCTTGCTCTGACTGAGGGCTGCTGGGAGCAGGGGGTGGGGCTTGTTGCATGTGCCCGCCCCCTGGGCTCTTTACTGCTGGAGCTCCACTCCCATGTGCTCCTGCAGGAAAGGACCGGCTTCCTGCCCCCATCTTCACAACAAACCTGATAGTGAGTGGCCTGTAGTCACCCAGTGAGCTTTATGGGAATGCGAGGACTATAGTCCCAACACACCACACCACCACGCTGGTCGGAGTTCCGTAGGGGCCCAGGAACGGATCGAGACATTTGTAGGAGCCTGAAGTAGCTCAGCCACAGCTGGGTTGTGGAAACAGAAAAGAGCAAGAGTCCAGGAGCTCCTTAAAGACTAACAAAATTTGGGGCTGGGTAGGAGCTTTTGTGAGTCACTGCTCAATTCTTCAGAATCTGAAGAACTGAGCGGTGACTCACGAAAGCTCATCCCCTGCCACAAACTTTGTTCGTCTTTACGATACTCCTGGACTCTTGGTCCTTTCCACTGCTACAGACCAACACTGCTACCATCTTGATCTGTCCCCATGGGGTGTGGAAGTATCATGACCTAGACAGCCCCAGAAGGTTGGGCCAGAACCAACGGGTTGAAATTAAATCAGAAGAGTTTCTGGCTAAACATGAGGAAGAACTTCTGGACAGTTGGAGCGGTTCCTCAGTGGGACAGGCTTCCTCGGGAGGTGGCGGGCTCTCCTTCTCTGGAGGTTTCCAAGCAGAGGCTAGACGCCCATCTGACAGCAATGTGGATTCCATGAACTTGGGCAGATCGCGAGAAGGGAGGGCAGGAAGGGTCGCCTCAGTGCTTAGTTCTCGTGGTCCTTTCTTACACGCCCAGGGAAGTGCCGATCGCCACTTTGGTGTCAGGAAGCCATTTTTCTCCAGGCCGGTTTGGCCGGGGATCCTGGAGGTTTTTTAGCCATCTTCTGGGCGTGGAACAGGGGGGTCCACTAGGGGTGCAGGAGGTGTTTGTGAATTTCCTGTATTGTCCTGGGGGGTTGGACTAGATGACCCTGGAGGTCCCTCCCAACTCTTATGATTCTGTGTACCGCAGAGTGCTTCAATTAGTGCATCTACCTCTTTGGGTGCGACCTGTGAACACCACTGCCATTGCCTAGCTCAGGGGTCCCCAACCTTTTTGAGCCGGTGGGCACCTTGGGATTCTGGCACAGGGTGGTGGGCGCAGCCCCAGAATGGCCGCCGCGGCTTGCCTTCAGTCATCCCGTGAAGACCCTTGTGTGTGGTGGTGGGCGTGGCCGCCCAAGCAACGTCTTTAAAAATCTGCACAGGCAATCAGCTCTCCGGTGGCAAATCAGAAGCCTGCCTGAGCCAAAGCGACGCTTTTTTTAAAAAACACGACACCCATGAGCACCACTTTGGGAATGCCTGGCCTAGCTGAAGTGTCATGGTTCAGTGCACGGACTCTAATCTGGGAGAACCGGGTTTGATTCCCCGCGCCTCCACTCGCAGCTGTTGGGTGACCTTGGGTCAGTCACAAGTTCTCTCAGAGCTGTCCTCTCAGGGGCAGTCCTCGAAAGAGCTCTCTCAGCCCCGCCTGCCTCACAGGGTGGGGAGGGGAAGGGAAAGGAGTTTGTAAGCCGCTCTGAGACTCCTTCGAGTAGTGAAGGGCGGGGTATATATCTGATCTCTTCTTTTTCTACCAGGGGTGGGTGGGGGAGACACACACACACAGAGGACTTTGAGCTCCGCATATTCACTTGCCGTCCTTGCTGCCCTTCCAGCTTACATGATGGGTGCCGCCCAGTTCCACCCCCCGCTGGCCCCGGGGCCGAGGCACAGCATGGCCGAAGAGCAGCCCGACTACTGCTGCCCCAAGTGCCAGTACAGGGCGCCGGACATGGACACGCTACAGATCCACATCATGGACTGCATCCTGTGAGGGCGATGAAGGAAGAGCTCCCCCGCCTGCGACACTGTGCTTTTGTTGTTGTTGCTGCTGCGTTGCCTTAATTGGAGCCCAGCAGTTCGGCTGCTACGAGTTGACCTTGGACGATTTTGCTCCTCTCCCGCACACCCCCCCCCCAAATTTAACTTTTTTTCCCTTCTCTTTCGAGCGTGGCCGAGCCTGCTGCTATCCTTCGGGGCTCGGAACGGGTATTGCACTGTTCCTTGGGTTGTGACGAACACGTCGCGAGGGTGATGCCGCCCCCCCCCCCTTAGGGACGGGCTGGGTCAGGGCAGACAAGCACAGGGAAGGAGGGCTCTCGTTTTTGGGGTGCGGTAAGAGAAGTTCCCCGTGTGCCTTGTTCGCTTCCCAAAGAGCTGCCTCTTCGAGGCTGATCCTATAGTGCCTTCAAGACTTCCTCAGTCCCGTTGTGGTGAGGTGGGAAACGTATAGAAAAACAAAGCCACACGAAGGGGGCGGGGACGGGGAGGCCGTTTCCCTCTGCTTTCTTAAGAGCTGCTGGTTTCTGCGGCCTCTGGAGAGCCGCTGTATAAATCTTACCTAACAGTTAATTAAAGCAAAGTTCAATATTTCTCCCCACCACCCTTTTCTGCCAACGCTCCAGCCTCGGAACAAACTTCCACAGTCGCTGTAGAAATCGACGTTTATTAACTCAAATCACCAATAATTTACAACCCGAGGGAAAGGTCCACGAAGCTGAGCTTCGGCGCGGCTCCTCCTCTACGGTTCTTCCGCTCCTCCGGGCCCAGGGCTGGGTTTCGAGGGAGGTGCTTCATCAAGAGAGGAGGGGTCGGCCCAGATGGGTTGCCCCGCCCTCCTGTTTTTTGGATCAGCTGCTCAGTCTGACCAAACCAGGAGAGCTTCCGGGGCAGACACCTATTTCCAATAAATAATTCAAGTTACTTCTCCCAAATCAACTGAAATTTACCTGCCGGCAAAACCAATTTAACTGTTTCGCTCATGTGGCGGGAAGGATCCAGCCACCGCTCTTTGCCCAGCAAAAAGAAAACTGTGTCCCCAGAGATCACCAAGCCGCAGGTGGGTAGATGCGCAGCGACCGAGGGGCCTCGCTACGCTGCCCCGATTGGCTTAGGGCTTACGACAGGTAGACAAAGACCGTCCTTCCCGCTTCAAGAAGCGGCTTCGGGGCTGGCGCTGGAATTGTTATCTTGGGGGGAGGCAGTAGCCCCCCGGGGGGTCACTTCGATGATGCGGGGCTTGTCGATGATGCGGGCGGTCTGGTTGCCTTTCTCCACGATGCCAATGATCCAGGCCTGGTGCCCCTCGCCGTACTTGGGGGATTTGATCTCGGCGCAGAAGCGGGCGGCCTGCTCCCGGGGAAGACAGATCAGCAGCCCCCCTGCAAAGGAAAGCAGCGCGGGTTAAGGGCGCTGGCAGGTTCAGACTGCTGCCGAAACACACACACACACCCGATTTGAGGGTAGTTAACACGTGGGATTCACTGCTGCGGAAAACGGTGGCGGCGACAAGCACGGACAGCTTCGAGAAGGGATCGGATGAACGTACGGAGCAGAGAGGTCCCTCGGTAGCTATGAGCCACAAGGCATAGACGGAACCAATGCTCCCTCTAAGCTGTGGAGTCTTGTGAGCAAAAATTCTACTTTGTGAGCTACCGGCATTGAAGTTGTGAGCGAGCGGTTTGGCTGCTGCATAAATGAGTTTGCTCTGGAGCCATCCTCCCTGAGCGGAGACAAAAATGTGTGAGAGGCTAAAAAACTGTGAGCTAGCTCACACTCACTCAGGATGGAACACTGTCTGGGGCAGTGATGCTCTGTAGTCCTGGTGCTTGGGGGTGGCCACAGGGGGAGGGCTTCTGGAGTTCTGGCCCAGCTGGGGGGACCTCATGATGGCCCCTGGGTTTTGGACACAGAGTGTTGGACTGGATGGGCCACTGGCCTGATCCAACATGGCTTCTCTCTTATATTCTTATGTCTGGGGCAGGGATGCTCTGTCTTCTTGGGGCCTGGGGGCAACAGTGGGAGGGCTTCTGGAGTTCTGGCTCCACTGCTGGACCTCCTGGATGGCCTGGAATGTTGGACTGGAGGGGCCATTGGCCTGATCCAACACGGCTTCTCTTACATTCTTATGTCTGGGGTAGGGATGCTCTGTATTCTTCGTGTGGGGGGGGGACAGTGAGGGGGCTTCTGGAGTTCTGGCCCCGCTGGTGGACCTCCTGATGGCACCTGGGTTTGGGCCATGCTGTGACACAGAGTCTTGGACTGGATGGGCCACTGGCCTGACCCAACACGGCTTCTCTGATGTAGCCCCAGCTGCCCGTCTTACCAGACGTCTCCGGGGACGTCCCCTGCAGGAGCCTCGACCGCGTGCCGCTGGCTTTGCTGACGGCCGCCATCTTTGCAATGATGGGCAGGTTGTGGATCACGAAGGACACTTCGCTGCGTTGCTGCTTGGCCAAGTTCTGCGCGTGGCCCAGGATGCCGAAGCCCGTGATGTCGGTAGCGGCGTGAGCATTGAATGTGTGCATCAGACTGGCAGCTGCAAGAGGAGGAAGGTTACAGGCACGAGCTTTGCTTTTCTTCACTTGAAACATTAGCTGCCTTTCTTCCATGCCCAGCTCAGGGCAGCTTAGAACATAAATACAATACGTAAGAGTATGCAGAAATATGGAAAACCAGCATTTAAAATCACAAGTGTCTCATTCAAATGCAGCCCTAAACTATGCTCCCTCTAAGCTGTGGAGTCTTGTGAGCAGAAATTCTACTTTGTGAGCGGCCGGCATTAAAACTGTGAGGGAGCGATTTGGCTGCTGCAGAAATTAGTTTTCTCTGGAGCCCTCCTTCCTGAGCTGAGACAAAAATGTGTGAGCCGGAGGCTAAGAAATTGTGAGCTAGCTCGCACTGACTCAGCTTAGAGGGAACACTGGTCCTAAATAAAACCATCTTCAGCTGCCTCCCAAGTGAGAGACCCAGGTGCACCTTCCTAGGGAGACTGTTCCACAGTCGCGGGGCTACCACTGAAAAGGTCTTCTCATGTGTCCACCAAACAAGTGAATCTATAGAGGAGGTTGAGGGGGGGGGCATGACTGCTCTCTTGAAGTATCTGAAGGGCTGTCACTGAGAGGAGGGCAGGGAGCTGTTCCTCTTGGCAGCAGAGGAGAGGATACTCACAAGGATGGGTTTAAATGAAGGGCAGGGAGGCACCAGCTGGATCTTAGGAAACACTTTTTGACAGAGTCGTGCAAGAGTGGAACGGGCTGCCTGGGGAGGTGTTGAGCTCCCCCTCAGCACTGGCCGTCTTTCAGCAGTGGCTGGACAAACACCTGTCAGGGGTGCTCTAGGCTGATCCTGCACTGAGCAGGGGGCTGGACTAGATAGCCCGTGTGGCCCCTTCCAACTCTACGATTGGTGGAACCGTCAGGAAGGCCTCTCTGTGATCTTAACTCCCTGGCAGGAGCCTACAGGAGCAGATCATCAAAACCAACAACATTTAACAGCTCGGGAGTGGACCAGTGGCCAGTTTCATTGCTGTAGTATTGGGGCCACGCACTCCCAGGAGCTGGCCCCGACCAGCGGTTTAGCCCACAGCATTCTGGGTAGCCCCACGAGAACATATTGCACCAATCCATTCTAGCAGCTACTACAACACTCGCAGGTGGATATTTGGTGGCTAACTGCTCTCTGGTGTCACCAAAGTGGTGAGAAGCCGCCAAAGGGAAGCTCCTACAAGATGGTGGAAGTAGCAGTGGCTTGGATCTTGCTGATCTGGTCTGCCAAAAGAGGCTCTTTTCCTCAACAGAAGAAGTCGCCCATTCACGCAGAATGCCCAACCCTTCACAGGGGAAGACCCTGGCTCAGTGGTAGAGCCTTTCCTTGGCATGTGGAAGGTCCCAGGTTCAAACCCCGGCATCTCCAGTTAAGAGGTGATGTGAAAGACCTCTCCCGGAGATCCCGGAGGGCACCATCAGTCTGAGTAGCCCCGTACTCAGTTTGGTGTTGTGGTTAGGAGCTCAGACTCTAATCTGGGAAAATGGGGTTTGATTCCCCACTCCTCCTCCTACATGCAGCTGCTGGTGTGACCTTGGGCCAGTCACAGTTCTCTCAGAGCTGTTCTCTCGGGAGCAGTCCTCAAAAGAGTTCTCAGCCCCACCTACCTCACAGGGTGTCTGTTGTGGGGAGTGAATATGAGCATATAGCGAAAAACGCAAAGACCAACAATAAAACTTTATTCAAATACATTAGAAGCAGGAAACCAGCCAGGGAGGCAGTGGGGCCCTTGGATGACAGATTACTGAAGGATGATAGGGAAATGGCTGAGAAGCTAAATGCATTTTTTGCCTCTGTCTTCACTGAGAAAGATGAGAAGTGCTTGTCCACCTCCAGAACCGTGATTTAGGCAAAGTAATTTGGAAGGGTTTTTGTTGTTGTCTTTAATGGGTTGTCAGATTTTAATATATTTTCAGGTTGTGTACGAAAATTCAAGTGTTGTCAAGTTAGCGTAGAAGATGGAAGAGGAAAACTATGGTGGAATCTTAGAAAAACCTGTTTCCGAATAGTTGAACACAACTGGTTTGAAACCTTCATTGTCTTTATGATTCTTCTTAGCAGTGGTGCCCTGGTAAGTGAAAACAAAAGAAAAAATTCCTAAGTTATGGCTTATGTGTAAAAAAAAATACATTTTGAAAACCATGGCCAACTTATGGTCCTTCTGAATTATTTAGAAACATGTTTCTAATAATACCTAGCCTCCATCAAGTACTTTACACATGATTATTGTTTAAATTTTATTGATAAAATATTCCTTGATGTTTGACCCAAAGACAGGAATCAACTGTATTATTTGTTCCATTCCATGTATTGCAGTAGAGTGCTGGCTTTTTGCTGTGAATAAATTTGTTGTTGTCCCAGTCCATATTTTTATATGGATTGTATCAACCTCTGCCTACTAAACATATGCTTTTTAAAAATGAGGTTCCAGTGGAGTAGGGCAAGAAGTTGCAGTGACAAGGACTCTGTAGGATAAACTGGCTCATTCAGATTTCATGTAAAACCATAATTAGGATGACTGTCTGAACCTGGCCACTCACTGTTGTTGTGTTGGTTTGTCAGGGAATATAAAACCAAAATCTGAAACCATGTTTGAAGTTGGTTTATCTGAAGAAGCGTGCGTGCACAGGGAAGCCTATACCCAGAAGTAAACTTTGTTGGTCTTAAAGGTGCCACTGGATTCATACTTTGTTTTGTTAACCACAGTTAGTCTTAAATACGGTTCTGCATTCTGTACAAACATGGACATCGTAGCTTACTCCTGGCTAGGGACATATGAACACCTGCCAGTTTGGCTCATGCTCTGTTCACTGATCACAAGCAGGGACGATTTTTCGAGGACTGGTTCAGTAAGTCATCAATCTGTTTGCCGGTATTCAACATGTTGCTTCACTGTATTTATTCCTAGCCATGCATTGCGACTGAGGGGTGACATGATTGAGGTTTATAAGATTATGCATGGGAAAGAGCAGGTAGAGAAAGAGGTACTTTTCTCCCTTTCTCACAATACAAGAACTCGTGGGCACTCCATGAAACTGCAGAGCGGTCGGGTTAGAACGGATAAAAGGAAGTACTTCTTCACCCAAAGAGTGATTAACACATGGAATTCACTGCCACAGGAAGTGGTGGCGGCTACAAGCATGGACAGCTTCAAAAGGGAAGTAGATAAGCATATGGAGCAGAGGTCCATCAGTGGCTATTAGCCACAAGGTATAGATAGGGATAGTGGTTATCTCAGCATTGCGCTGCCGACAAGGGACGCTTCAGGGATCAGGTTCCCTACCTGTCCTATTCAGCATGGCCATACTAAACATGGCTTCCTGGTAGGCCAGTTCGACATCTTCTTTGGAGACCACCAGCTTAATCTTATTCCACCTCTCCGGCTGCAACAGAAACAAAGGTGTGTAAGACAGGGTGAGGGCACATCCATTACTCACTTCTGGTATCGGAGGACTGTCATCTCAGGTCAAAGCAGTCCAGTACAACATAGTAAACTTCAAAGAAGCCACTACTTCACACAACGTGGCTCAGCAGCTCCACCATGAAGTCCTTGGACTATCCCACTACCTTAACTCTTGGAGAGGGGTTGTGGCTCAGTGGCAGAGCCTCTGCCTGGCGTGCAGAAGGTCCCAGGTATCTCCAGCTAAAAGGACCAGGCCAGGAGGTGATGAGAAAGACCTTGACCTGAGACCCTGGCTCAGTGGCAGAACATCTGCTTGGCGTGCAGAAGGTCCCAGGTTCAATCCCCAGCATCTCCAGATAAAAGGACCAGGCAGGAGCTGATGAGAAAGACCTTGACCTGAGTCCCTGGCTCAGTGGCAGAGCCTCTGCCTGGCGTGCAGAAGGTCCCAGGTATCTCCAGCTAAAAGGACCAGGCCAGGAGGTGATGAGAAAGACCTTGACCTGAGACCCTGGCTCAGTGGCAGAACATCTGCTTGGCGTGCAGAAGGTCCTAGGTTCAATCCCCAGCATCTCCAGTTAAAAGGACCAGGCAGGAGGTGATGGGAAAGACCTTGACCTGAGACCCTGGCACAGTGGCAGAACATCTGCTCAGCATGCCGAAGGTCCCAGGTTCAATCCCCAGCATCTCCAGATAAAAGGACCAGGCAGGAGCTGATGAGAAAGACCTTGACCTGAGTCCCTGGCTCAGTGGCAGAGCCTCTGCCTGGCGTGCAGAAGGTCCCAGGTATCTCCAGCTAAAAGGACCAGGCCAGGAGGTGATGAGAAAGACCTTGACCTGAGACCCTGGCTCAGTGGCAGAGCCTCTGCTTGGCATGCAGAAGGTCCCAGGTTCAATCCCTGGCATCTCCAGTTCAAAGGACCAGACAGGAGGGGATGAGAAAGACCTTGACCTGAGACCCTGGCTCAGTGGCAGAGCCTCTGCTTGGCATGCAGGAGGTCCCAGGCTCAATCCCCAGATCTCCACTTAAAAAGAACCAGGCAGTGGGTCATGAGAAAGACCTCCGCCTGAGACCTTGGAGAGCTGCTGCCAGTCTGAGTAGACAATACTGACCTTGATGGACTAAGAGTCTGATTTAGTATAAGGCAGCTTCCTGTGTTGGGGAGGCGCTGTGGCTCAGTGGCAGTCTACAGCAGTTTCATGTGTGAGTGAACGAATCACGCAGAAGGATGGGTTTTCAGGGGTAACATAAGGGCCTTTTTTCTGGGGGAACGTAGTGGAACCTCTTCAACAAAATTCTTTTGAAAACATTTAAAAGTTCATCAGTTTTCAGTATGCAGATTGAAAGTTTCATTTCCCTCTTGAGGATTCCAGCACCACTTCTTCCAAAAACAAAAATCCCTGGGTGACACTATTACACATTTGCCTTAAGCGTCATCTCAGGTCCGTGGCACTCATCGGATAATGTTTCCCCGTTTACTAACCTCCCCTCCCTTACTGCAATAGACTCTGCAAGACCAGTAAAGCTTTCCCACAGATAAGCACTTACGTTGTCTAACCACTGATGGGCGCTCACGGCCACCTGCGTTCCCAGAGGCTTGGTCAGGACAAGGACATCCCCTGGAACGGCACTCTCTGGCCTGGAATCAAGAAAACAGAGTCCAAAGCTCTGCCCTTACATAAGCGTCCCAGTCTCCCCACCGGGCGGCTTACAGAACGGTGCTTGCGTTAGGCCCCTTTGAAACATTCTCAGGGCCGCGAGAGCCTTCTCAGCTGCCTTGACATTCCATGAAATGATACGGCACATAAATAAAAACTGTCTAGCATGACACAGAGCTCATGATTCACTATCACCCACTCTTGCTCCGTATCTTGCAGAAATTACAGGACCAATCTCTAATAAGTTGATTGTAATGATTCCATGTTTTGGTGTGTGTGTGTGTTTAAATGTTGACTGCAGTAATGTAAGGAAAGCGATAGGGGGAGATGAGTGTGCTGTGATTGGCTGATGACTGAGAGTGTGAGAGGAGAGATGTTTTATGACAGAGTTCTGTGTGTGAAATTTGAAGAGGCAGCATGGTCTGTGTGACTATAGACTTTTGCTTCTATTCTGTGTGAATAAGGCAAACAGTTTAGGCTGAGTGACTATAAGAGCTGATTCTGTTCTGGGTGAATAAGACAAAGAGATTAGCCTGTTTGGCTATATATATATATATATATGAGAGAGAAAGAAAAAGATTATACTGAGAGTCTATGCCTGTCTGAGTGACTGTAACACCAAGTTTTGCCAGTTATATTTAGGTTCTTTTTTTTCAGTAACAGTTCGAAATAACCAGAAACCTATTTTGCTCTTTATTAAATAAATCAATTTTTATTTACGCTTATCCCAGCAATCAGTACAGTTCTTCCTCAGGGCCACATAGTCCTCTGAAGTGCCCAGACCCTCGGTCATTCTACCAGCAGAGAGAGAGATTTGGAATTTTTAATCCCTGGTGGCAGCAGAAATCTACCAAGTTTAGGTAGAGCGTGTTTAAATGTAAAACCATCTCGCCAATAAGCAAGGACGTCACATTGATCATCAGCAATTAAGGACTGTATAAGGTTTTTATTATTTATTTAAAACATTTATTAGTCGTCTTTCTCCCTTGCGGGACTTAAGGCGGATTGCAGTATAAAACCATCAGAAGATACAATAAAACAACAGGAATAAAGCAGCAATTATAAAAACACATAAAAGATCATAATTTCAAAATTTCAATTGGGACTGCCAATAAATATAAACTAAATCAGTCCAATGCAATCCTCAATAGAACTGTCAATTGCCTCCTGAAGATCGATACTGACGGGGGGCCAGGCACACCTCCCTGGGGAGCAGTATTCCCTCTAAGATGAGTGAGTGTGAGCAGCTAGCCCACAGTTCTTTAGCCTCCAGCTCATACATTTTTATCTTAGCTCCCGAAGGATGGGCTCCAGAGCAAATCACTCCCTCACAACTTTAATGCCAGGAGCTCACGAAGTAGAATTTTTGCTCATAAGACTCCACGGCTTAGAGGGAGCATTGCTGGGGAGATTGTTCCGTAATTCTGGGGCTGCCCCCAAAAAGGCCCTCTCTCGTGTGCCCAGCAGATGAGCTTCTTTGATTGGTGGGACAATAATCAGGAGGGACTCTCCCTGCGACCTCAATTCCCGGGCAGGAATGTATGGCAAAGCACAGTCGTTCTGATGCCCCGGTCCCAAGCCATGTAGGGTTTTAAACATGATCTTCTGCACCTGCACGGGGCATCTGATCATCAGCTTTCTCAAATCACCTCCCCTGCTAATGAGATCCTGATACTCACAAGATAAACTCGTTGGGTTGACACACCACGGTCGCAACTCCTCCGACAATGATCCAAGGGTTCAAGACTGTCTGCCCGCCGGTAACTGAGGTGCCGCCATCTTCCGCTGCATCCCGGAAGCCCTTGATCATCAGCGGCATGATTTTGTCCCGCTCCTGGGTGAAGGGCAAAATAAAGGGGTTCAGGAAACGACTACAGTTCTCAGGCCCCTTGCAGAAAGTGGGAAGCTGGGTCAAGAACATTAAAGGCCGTTTACTGTTGGCCACAAATGCTCAGTTGAGACAACATACGTGGTTTGCAACTTGGCTCAAGGGAGGGGCTGTGGCAGAGCCTCTGCTTCGCAAGCAGAAGGTCCCAGGTTCAATCCCCAGCATCTCCAGTTAGAAGGACCAGGTAGGAGGTGATGAGAAAGACCTTGACCTGAGACCCTGGATCAGTGGAAGAGCCTCTGCTTGGCGTGCAGAAGGTCCCAGGTTCAATCCCCGACACCTCCAGTTAAAAGGACCAGGCAGGAGGTGATGGGAAAGACCTTGACCTGAGACCCTGGCTCAGTGGCAGAGCCTCTGCTTGGCATACAGAAGGTCCCAGGTTCAATCCCCGGCATCTCCAGTTAAGAGGACCAGGCGGGGTGATAAGAAAGACCTTGACCTGAGACCCTGGCTCAGCAGCAGAGCCTCTGCTTGGCATGCAGAAGGTCCCAGGTTCAGTCCCCGGCATCTCCAGTTAGAAGGACCAGGCAGGAGGTGATGAGGAAGACCTTGACCTGAGACCCCGGCTCAGTGGCAGAGCCTCTGCTTGGCATGCAGAAGCTCCCAGGTTCTATCCCCGGCCTCTCCAGTTAAAAGGATCAGGCAACAAGTGGTGTGGAAGACCTGTCTCTGCTTGAGACCATGGGGAGCCCACTACCAGTCTGAGTGGGCAATACTGACTCTGGTGGGCCAAGGGTCTGATTCAGTATGGCCGCTTCCGTATGCACTAGGGAGACAAATGAGAACTAAACAAAACATGGTCTGAAGTGGGCTTGAAAGCCGTGATTGGGACTATGCAAGGTCTGTGTTGACAATCCATAGCTGTAACTTGATCTGCCTCTGGAGATCACTGTACCTGGAGACTGGAATACAGGCAGATACCTGAAGTACACAAGCAGCTTTATGCTTCTGCTTGCCCAACACTTTGGAAGCTAGAATTATGATTTTGCAATGATATCTAAACTGAGCTAGCTGTGGAGCTATTTTTGCTGAAGCTAAGACCAACCAAGTAGAAGAAGACATTGGATTTATACCCTGCCCTTCACTACCCGAAAGAGTCTCAGAGCGGCTTACAATCTCCTTTCCCTTCCCCTACCCACAGCAGACACCCTGTGAGGTCAGCAGGGTGAGCTCTTTCAAGGACTGCTCTTGAGAGAACAGCTCTGAGAGCTTGTGACTGACCCAAGGTCACGCCAGCAGCTGCATGAGGAGGAGTGGGGAATCCAACCTGGTTCTCCCAGATTAGGGTCTGCGCCTCTAACCACTACACCAAACTGGCTCTCACCAAACCAGCCAATCAGATCCTAGAGGGAAACTACCCCAGAACCTCTACATTATGTTTCTTAAGTATTTGCAGAACCTTTGCCACAATCTCAATAAAAAATGCCACGTAAGTGGCATACATAAAATAGCCATTTTGCAAAATTGTCAAGAGAAGAGTCTTGTTTAGAAGCAGGGCTCTAGGGGAGAACGCACCGGAATGGAGTTCCGGCACCTCTTCGACAAGATTCCTGTTTAAAAGTTTGTGAGTTTTCAGTATACAGATCGAAAACTTCCATTTCCCTCTTCGGAGTTCTGCCACCACTTTTTCCAAAAAAGGGAGAAAAGCACTGACTGTGGTGTTAGCTACCGCTGAAACGTTATTTTAATCGGCACTCCCGATTGGCTCTCCACTAACCAATCAGGAGGCTCGTCGGGCAGGAGCCCCGCCCACTCCCCCAAAGCCCCGTTTAGAAGTAAGATGATCCGGGGCGCTTCTCACCTCCTCAGTCATCTTCTGGCTCACGCTCAGCAGCATCAGCATATTGTCGCACTCGGTGATGCCCATGGCGTACAGGTCGCTCAGCACGTTTGCGCAGGCGATGCGGCCCTAGAGCAGACACACATGCAGCAGCAGGCACTGAATCAGAAGGGAAACGACACACGGGGCAATCGTCTTCACGAGACTCGCGTTCCAGAGCTGCCTTAAGGTTCCCACAAGACGCAGTCTGCCCCCCCATTTTGCCCTACTAAGCCCCATCCCCGCCACTCACCATCATATAGGGATCCTCCACCAGGGGGTAAAAGAAGTCTGTGGTCTGTACGAGGGAGAGACCCCCATGCCTCAGAGGGATGATACAGGAGTCCATTCCAATGCCTGTGGGGAAGAAGCATCACATCTTAAAATTTTATTCACTTGCAACCCGCCTGTCTCCCCAGTGGGGGCCCAAAGTGGCGTATATCATTCGCCTCTACTCCATTTCATCCTCAGAGGTAGGTTAGGCTGAGAGTGTGTGATTGGCCCAAGGTCGTCCAGCGAGATTCCATGGTACATAAGAACAGAAGAGAAGCCAATGTCGGGTCAGGCCAATGGCCCATCTAGTCCAATACTCTTGTCACACAGGGGCCAAAAAATACCAGGTGCCATCAGGAGGTCCAGCAGTGGGGCCACCCACTGTTGCCCCCCCCCCAAACACAAAGAAAACAGAGCATCACTTGCCCCAGACTGAGAGCTCCTATCTATACCTTGGGGCTAATAGCCACTGATGGACCTCTGCTCCATATGTTCATCCAATTCCCTCTTATAAGAGCATAAGAGAAGCCAATGTTGGATCAGGCCAATGGCCCATCTAGTCCAACACTCTTGTCACACAGTGGCCAAAAATACCAGATGCCATCAGGAGGTCCAGCAGTGGGGTCAGGACACTAAGAGCCCTCCCACTGTTGCCCCCCCCCCAGCACCAAGAATATAGTCCAACACTCTTGTCACACAGTGGCCAAAAATACCAGATGCCATCAGGAGGTCCAGCAGTGGGGTCAGGACACTAAGAGCCCTCCCACTGTTGCCCCCCCCCAGCACCAAGAATACAGAGCATCCCTGGCCCCAGACTGAGAGTCCCTATCTATACCTTGTGGCTAATAGCCACTGATGGTACCAGTGGGGATTTGAACATTAATTCTCCCAGATACTAGCCTGACACTCGTAACCACTACACCACACTGGCCACAGCATTCCTAAAAGATATTTCTGCCCCACCTATCCAGAGATCCAGAGCTTTTAATCAACAGAGTTTATATAGCGCTTTAAAGTTTTACATAATTATCATTGCTTTTGCAACGATTATACTGTCAAGAAGATCAGTATCTATATGTGCAAATTGGGGAGGGGAAGGTTTCCAGACTTAAAGTGGTTTGAGTAATGCTACCTGATCAGCTTGTAGAAGGAATGAAATTCATATTGGGAAACTATGATATAGGACCCAGTCTCTTAGCCCCACCATACATCATTACATATTTTCATCTTCAAGGTGTTCCAAGCAGTACACTTTTAAAATGTATACGCCACCTATCCAGAGACCAGCGTGAGGCAGTCCACAAAGTAAAAAAAATACAATAAAATCAGAACATCAGTGCAAGCAGTACCAGTAACAGCGACAGCCGGTAGCCTAAAATTACATTCTTAAAACAGCCAAGCTAGAACCACAGAAACCGCTTAAAAAAATTAAGAACCCCACCCTTAAAAGCCCAGGTAAAAAGAAATGTAATGGCTACATAGCAGAAAGGCTGAGGCTCAGTGGCAGATCATCTGCTTGGCATGCAGAAGGTCCCGGGCATCTCCAATTTAAAAAGAGCAGGCAGGAGGTGATGTGAAAGACCTTTGCTGGAGACCTTGGAGAGCTGCTGCCAGTCTGCATACACAACACTGACTCTGATAGATGGAGGGTCTGATTCGATATAAGGCAGTTTCATGCTGTATAGAAACATCGATTTCTAAATGTCTCCTGCATTCTCCTGTTCTGTCTTTTGGTAACAGGCTGTGCCTTATTTCCTGTTACAAGCCAAATGGTGGGCCCATGGCCTCAATTGCCATGCCATAAACCCACATTCTTCACACTTCCATGCTGGAAGCTAGGCCTCACATGCCAGAAGTCACGTAGCCGATGGGGAGGACTGGAGGTTGGGTCACCTGACTGCAGAGGGCGTTCCCAAACTCCCAGCCTATCCCCACTTGCACCCATGACAACTAATAATTGGACACACCTATGTCCACTCGCAATTGGCTCCTGGCCAGAGCTAGTTTATAACTGGTCATTCCCAATGGGAGAGAGCTCTGTTCTCTCTGCTGCTCTTGTGTTCTGTTCTTGTTCCTGAGCTCTCTGCTCCCTGCTTGTTGTTCTATTGCACCTGGACATGTGGTCTCTGGGAGAACAAAGACCTGCTTGGTAACTGGAGCACATGGTGTGCAAAAATGGGCTTTCCCTTCAAGATCCCCTGGAACCCTGGACTGGGTGGGCTATCCTATACACATGCGTTCATGTTCACAAGACACCAGGCAAGCTTCAAGAGGAAGGATATTCCGAAATTAAGAGACCACCATTGAACAAGCTCTGTCTCAACCTACTGCACCTCTGCAGACAGCAGGCACAGGAAACAGGGCTGAGCAAGATAAACGGCGGGCTGGGCAGCACCGGGAGAGGTGGGCCTGCAAGTCCCCTTGTCCCAAGCTGTGTTTTCCTATCCCCCCCCCCACACACACACAACAACCTTGTTTAGTCGGGTGCCAGGGTCTCAGGTCAAGGTCTTTCCCATCACCTCTTGGCTGGTCCTTTTCACTGGAGATGCCATGGATTGATGCTCTGCCACTGAGCCACAGCCCCACTTCATGGCTCTCCAGGGTCTCAGGCTGAGGTCTTTCCCATCACCTCCTGCCTGGTCCTTTTACCTGGCAATGCCAGGGATTGAACCTGGGACCTTCTGCATGCCAAGCAGAGGCTCTGCCACTGAGCCAGGGTCTCAGGCTGAGGTCTTTCCCATCACCTCCTGCCTGGTCCTTTTACCTGGCAATGCCAGGGATTGAACCTGGGACCTTCCGCATGCCAAGCAGAGGCTCTGCCACTGAGCCAGGGTCTCAGGTGGAGGTCTTTCTCATCACCTCCTGCCTGGTCCATTTAACCGGAGATGCCGGGGACTGAACCTGGGACCTTCTGTGTGCCAAGCAGAGGCTCTGCCACTGAGCCACGGCCCCTCCCCAGACACGAAGCTGCCTTATACTAAGCCAGACCCCTGGGTCCATCAAAATCAGTCTTGTCTACTCGGATCAGCAGCGGCTCTCCAGGGTCTCTCTCATCACCTCCTGCCTGTTCCTTTCCTAAAACTGGAGGGAACCAGGGAGAGAGCCTGGGACCCGGCGGCGGCCGCCTCCCCATCGCCGACCATCTCCGCGCGGGGCCCGGTGAGTCCCTCCAGGAGCCTGAGCAGCGTCTCCTGGGGGACTTTGCAGCCTCAGCCCCGCAGCTCCCCGAAGCCGGTGAGCCTCCATCCCGGGCTCAGGCCCAGCGCCTCGGGCTCGAAGGGCCTGTAGCCGGGCGGGCCGTAGTTGGTGGGCGCGGCCGCGGCCGGGAGGTCGCCGGACGGGGAACCAGCCAGCATCGCCATGACGCCTTCCAGAGACTGTTGACCTTTGGCCTCGCCGCGAGAGCCCGCCGGGAACGCTCGCGAGAGTTCGTGGGGGACTGCCAGCCAAGGCGCTTCGCCAAGTCTACTGTCTCGCGAGATTCCGAGGGGGCGCCGGCCCGGCCCGTCGAGCTTCAGCAGTCTCGACATCTCGCGAGAGTTTGAAAAGAGCGCCGGCCCAGGCCACCACCCCTTATTGATGGGGGGTGGTGCCCAGGCCCATTCGGCTTCATCGGCCCCCAAGGTCTCGCGAGAGGGCTACAAAAGGCCGGGTCTGTTCTACGATCTCGCGAGAAGATTGGGAGAGCACAACCTGGATTTTTTTTTTTAAAGGTACTTGACGGACAAGCAACCCGGCGGTGGGCGGGACTTCCTGTTCAAGTTGTGAAAGTGTAAAAGCGAAAGCCGCTCATTGGAAACAATATACAATTTGGTGGCTTCCCTGTTTTAATTGTGATTGGGAGACTCAGCAGGAGCGAAGACTTTTTCCCCTCATGGATGTTATTGTGCGTGGAACTTTAAAAAATCCAAAAAGTTAAACTTTAACAAAAATGCCCTGCAACCAGTGTTCCCTCTAAGCTGAGTTAGTGAGAGCCAGTTCACAGTTTTTTAGCCTCCAGCTCACACATTTTTGTCTTCGCTCAGGAAGGAGGGCTCCAGAGCAAGCTAATTTATGCAGCAGCCCAATCGCTCGCTCACAACTTTCATGCCAGTTAGCTCACAATGCAGAACTTCTGCTCACAAGACTCCACAGCTTGGAGGGAGCATTGCCTGCAACAAGGGCAAAAGATATGTGACTCAAGAAAACGTAGTAGCATATTTGGTATCAGTGCTTCTACTTTTAGTTTGCTTGATTTGACTAGGCTCTCGGATCAGGCATCAGCCTGCTGATAGGGTTATGCTCATGGAGTTTTGAGTTCAGGGTCAGGAAGACAAGCTAGCCTTGACAGTCTCTTGTCTGTTTATATAGCTTTGATAAGGATATTTAGACATTCCTTTGAATAACTTTTAACCTGTTAATAGCACTTAAATAGCTGTTTAAATAGGACTATGTTGCATTAAAGATCGGAATTTAGTTGTTGCATTGGGGTGGGAAACTGATTAAAGTGTGCCATTTTTTAGAATATTTCACCCTCTCCTATTGCTTTCACCTGCTTATTTTGATTCGTTTATGTTCAAACATATCTTTTGCCTACTGTGGAGCGACAGGTTTTTAGTGCGAAGACTTGGTCTTCTTCCCTATCGCCCACAGTAAAAGTTTTTAAGTTTACTGTGTGGAATTGGAATCTGCAACTTTTCGAGATTCTGCAAACCTTGTAAACTTTAAAACTTCCGGATCTTCTAATTCTTTGACCTCAACAAATTTTGGATCCTTGAACTTTTGGACCTTGGGTTTGCCCCAAGCCTGTGAGTGATTGCCCATTGGGTGATCAAAAGGATCCCTTAATGAAACAAAGTAAACTTGATGAGTTTTTCCATACGTTCCCAACCTCAAACACATTCGACGTCTTAAAGCATGATCAGGAGTGCTCTAAATCACCTTTAGTCTCAGCAGGGGTCATTTCCTGCAGGAGCGCACAGGAGCAGAGCTTCGGCAGTAAAGAGCCCAGGGGGCGGGCACATGCAACAAGCCCCACCCCCTGCTCCCAGCAGCTTTCAGTCAGGGCAAGAAGCAGCCAGGTAAGCTCCTTCCACTATTCTTCTAT